AACCTGTATTTTCTCAAACACCTTTTTTGAGTGCTTTCTACGGCAACGTCTTTACGAACATCAGCTGCTCTGCAGCAGTGAACCAGGTTTAACGACACAGAAACATGGCGTAGCCTCAAGGAGCGACACCCAAGTGGAATGAAAAATGTTCTCACCAAAATTATAGAGTATGTTCACATGCTCGGATGTCTCTTAGACTGTACTAATGCAGGAAAATCCCCAAGAAGACCGTGTACAGACCTTATCCAAATGTTCATGAGTAGTTTTAGTGCAGTGGCTACAGCTTTAGACCACAGGGTCAGTGTCAGTGACCCCGAGGTGGAGAAACTTCGTGTGACCTCTGCTCCTGACCTCCAGCTGGATTCCCTGTACACAGGGCTTTTTAAAAGTTGAACTCAGTTCGACTCAGCTAGCTAGATGTATAACATTCAGAACATTCGTCCATCTAAAAATATACCACTTTTTTCAACTCAGTGGTGTATAACATTCAGACCCAGGTGGGCCGTCACATTATCCTGCTATCAGCAAAACCGTATATATATACTGTGTATTAGCTAAAGGCTAAAGCACTACGCTGGAGTTAATGTCCTGCAGTTTAACCTGTGGTTTACTCACATTAGGTCCTAACTGTTCAATGTCAACTGTTACACACTTTTATAAATGGAAGTTCAAACTCCAGGTGCACAGAGACAGGATCAATACTAGGTAATTACACAGGATTTTAAAATGTTGTAAATTTAACCTGTTAAACGTGAAAGACGAGTTAATACATAAAATTTCAATGGTCTATAGGACACCTTGGAAAGGTTCCCTTCCTTGGCTGATAGCTATAAATCAATTTGAATAACTATAGGTGACGTTCGTGGAGGTGGTGAAATAAGTCATCTCATTAATACTACATCTCACATTATGTCTCTGGTTACAAGGCCGCTGTTAGATGGGTAAATACAAGTCTGAACAAAGAATGAAAACCTCGTGTGACCTTAACTTCAATACATATACATATACAATTCAATACTACAAATGCTGTGCATGGGTTATGGCTGCACGTCTACACTGAAACACACACATCCATACCACTGGAGCCAAAGTACACCTAAAAGATACTAAATAAAGTATGTAGACAGGAGCACAAGAGGACCTTTCTCCTCCTCCCTGCTTCAGGTTTCTGCTGACTCAGTCACATTTAGACAAGGAGGGAGGGTTACAAAGTAAGAGGAGTGAAAACAAGGCCAGAGGAAAAAGACAAGAGAAAAACAGACTCATTTAAATGACTCAACTAAAGAATTATGACACGGTCGAATAAAAATAAAACAAAATCGAGCCTAAGAGCAAGTTATAAATTTAGTGAAAAGATTAGACTTAGACTAAATCGAAACAGGCTGTAAAAAAATGAACACTGCAGAGGACGAGGCCATAAACAAAATTCAAATAGGAGAGGGCACAAGCCATAAAACTCTGACAATGAGTTCTACACAGTGGGAGCTAAGCTCCAAAGTTCTTGTGCAGTTATTTGGCAGTAGGGTAAACTTCACTGTTGCACTAGACAGTTAATGGAAACTGCTTGTTGATGTAAGGAAATGCTGAGTGATCTCAAAAACAAAACTGAAGGCATCTGAGTGGCACGGCAGAGATAAAAATAGAGCTGTTAAACCCTTGTCTTAACCAACGTAAGCACTGCGAACACACCAGTTGCCGAGCTCCACGCCACTCGACTCCTGTTTCCAGTAAACAAAATCATACGTGTGAAACGAAACGTCTGTACTCTGTTGAAATTAGCAAGAAAAGGAAACTTGTGGCATTGTCGTGTCGTCATACTTGCCTTGAACTTTAGCTTTATGACAGGAATAGGAAGGAAGCAATGCCACCAGAGACCAACTGCACAATAGCAATATACTGTGTGTGTATATATATATATATAATTTAAATCATCATTTAAATGAGTATATATATATATATATTCACACACAGTTTATATATATACCATAATGACGGTCTGTGCAGCCACCCAGCAGATAGGCAGGTTGTACGAGGACACAACCCTGAGGGATCAAGCTGGCAGTAAGCCAGCACTGAGACTGAGAGTCTGTTCATGCCTGGCATTAATTTATGTCTCAGGTTATCCGATTCCACGCAGACTGTCCTGAAATACACCACATCTCAATTGTCTCCAGATGTGTCCCAAGTGATCACTTGTGATTTGATTTTTACATGCGAATAAATTACAAAGTCAATTCTCTGCACAACAAACTTTTACATTCTGAGTCTGCTTATTCCTCGGAAATTGAAAAATTACAAGCTTGAATTAAATCAATTAATGAAACCCCGACATGTTTGACCCTGCAAAGTTGCCTGGAGAACTCCACCAGAACGAACGTCACGTAAAATGTCCTGTCTTCACATATTCAGAGCAGAACTTTAGCTCCAATCGATCTGTATTTGCTCTGAAATAAACTCTGAACCTCACGCTGTCTCGTTGGAGATTTCCAATCAGCTGCTGATAAACTAGATGCACCAACACAACAAAACGTGGTTTTCTTTTATATGGCTTCACTTATTTTGCAATTTTTCCTGTAATACGTTATCTGTCATGTTTCCAAGAGAAGTGCATGTGCCAGTCATTTCCTCTCAGCATTTAAAAGAGAAACAATGTAAATTTACTGGAAGTGTTGACACTGTATATAAGAAACCCACAAAGTCACCTTTAGGGGTTTTATTGGACAGTTACATTTTTTTCTCTCTCCTTCTGGGTTAGGTGAAAAATAACCTTAACCAGACCAGTAGTCTGACCAGTAGTCTGACCAGTAGAGCAGTAATCTTTTAGACTTTATTCTGTGAGTATCAGTCTGAAAAGATAAAAATTGTAATTATTTTGTTGCGGCCCAGTGACAATGGTACTGGTCTGTGGACTGCAGTCTACAGGTGTTTGGACAACTGCTCTAGAGGGCTAAGATCTATGGATGTCTATGTTTTTGTACTTACATATCACTCCCTCTATCACCGCCCACTAAAACTGAATAACTGTGGCTGACATATGTATGTCTTTTGATTCAAATTGTTCAGCTGACCACAGTTTTAACCAATTCATATGTCTTTTGATTCAAATTGTTCAGCAGACATTTTTTAAAGTTCTCACTGATGTAATTCAGCTGACCACAGTTTTAACCAATTTGTTTCGACTTCAGCGAGATTTTTAGCAGCCACCAGTCGCCCTGGCTACCTTGTGTACATACAATAGAAAGATGAGTGTTTGTTAGGACTAACACACTGACATGTGACCAAACAAAGACACTGAGTCAGTGGTTCAAACAGCAGCTCCTCCCTGGAGTGGTGGCTGAGGGCGTGAGAGACATGGACCTCAAAGAAAAATACTTGAAACAGCTGGAAAGACCTTTGAACAGTGTCTACAAACTACGTAGTCACATTGTCAATAAACTGGTTGAACTGGACAGCTGGTGACTTATGGTTTTCCCATGAATCAGCAGACAGACAGACAGACAGAGATCACCTTCAGACAATGAGAATTTCAGATATGGTTTTGGTTTCTTTCGATACCCAGAAATCAGATTTGAATTTTTTTTTTTTTTTACCATTTACTTCATTTTGTTTTGAAGGGGAACATGTGTTTTTGTCAGCAGTCAGAATAAACGCAACACCACAAATATTTAAAATATGAAAAATGTTGTCACACATAAAACTGCGTCGTTGAGCCCATTTTAGAAAAAAAAGGAGATTTGGTTGTGAGTAAATTTGTGATGGACCAAGGAACAACACATTCCGTGGATTTACACACGCAGCAGTTGTGCTGGAGCCTGAAGACCCTGTTTCACCCTGTTTGTGCACACCTGTATGCTGGAGTAATGAGGATGTAATTTAAGGCCACAAGCCCAGACAGGGATTGAATCAGTGCGCTTTGTGTTGCAAAGATCACAGTGATACCTTGTCACAGCACAACCTGTCATTATAAATAAGTAGGTGGGAAATTTCCATAAAATGGAGACACGTTGTAAAAAAAAAGAAAGGGTACAAGCAGAGATTTTCTTGCTGCAGTTCTTTACACTGGTCCTATTACCTTGTATATGTTTGTGAACTGAACTCTATGAAGCCCTATGGATAAACAGACACTACCTGTAACATAGGACTTCCCAGTAACTGGTGGGGACTGGAATAGGAAGGAAGTGAGTAAACTGATTATGAAACGTCGCACCTATGTTAACGTTCTGAATGGACGTCACTTTACTGGTAACTAACAACAACCCATAATTGGACATGAGGCAACTTGTGTGTCTCAACACCTGCAGTGTAATTTGCTCGGCCTCTGCTGTGTCTTGGGTCACGGAGGAATATGTCTGTACTTGTTCCCCCGTCTGCCTCATACATCCAGCATTCACTCCGACAAACATGTGACCAACAAACCGATCCCTCACTGTGGCTGACAGTGTGTTACACATGCAGCCAAACACACCCATCTAAGGATCTGCCCTCGTGCTCATTGTCACATCAGCTGTTTCCTGAATTCTCTGGTAAGAAGTGTGTAATGACTAAGTCAGCCAGTCAGCAGTAACTCTGATGCAAACGATGAACAGTAAATCTGCGAAACGTTTGACTACTGCTTTTAAAACCCTCAGCGAAATGTTGCATTTGTTGCATGTGACCCATCTGGACTGGTGTTAATCACTTCCCCTTGAACAACACATACTGTACACATATTTGACAAAATGATAGACTAGGCCCACATTTACCCGGCCATTACTCAGAGCATTAGTCTGAGTAGCATCATCACTGAAAAGATTCCCCTTCCTTACAAGATAATGAGTTTCAACGATGTAAAGAGATAGACCTCATCCACGCCATAATGCTCTGTGATCAAGTCACTATCCATTTAAAGATGAATCCTTTGTTTGGAATTTAACAGCTCATGTTAAGCTGCATGCTGCAGGCAATCAATGGTCAATAAGATAAATATGGGAGATGTGGTCATTCTGAGGGGGTCACCTTACCTGTGTTTCTCCAGCTCGTTGTGCGACGACCTGAAAGAGCAAAAAGACAAAACAAAAAAATAAGAGGCTAAAAAAATTTAAAAGGACACATAAATATGTCAGCAGAAAAACTGGCCTTTTGTTATAAATGTGTCTTCCAACATGGTGGTTATCTACAGCCTACTTGAAAACTTTAAAAGAATAATCTCAAGGAAACCAACATTACCATAATTGGCAGTGCTGCACAAATGACCATAATTGACTTCTGTTTGTCACTGTCACAATTACAACTGTGTAATTGTTGTGTGTGGAGTAAAACAATGAAATCTTCTTAAATGAAGTTAATTTTTATTTGAAAAGCATAAAACATTGAGATGTATAAAGCACTTGTGAAATAAATTTTTGTTTGCATTTCTAATAGCCAGCTAGCACAAATGTAGCTTCCTGTTAGAAATGTCTTTCCTCTGTCTGCGTGACATTTGTCAGAGTGTGTAGCACAGGTCAAGAGCAAAGAGTGAGACAGAGACAGAGGGACAGACAACAGTATGTGTGACACAGCACAACACAATCCTCCGTGCCAGCATTGCACGCACGCACACCACTTTGCACGCACTGCTGCTGCTGCTACAGCTACATGCCGACTGAAGTGTAGCGTGGACATTATGTAGCTTAAAAAACACAGCCAGACGTCTGGAGGCCTAGACACTACAGAATTCCTCTGTGTGTGGGCTATTCGAAGGAGAATATCTCTCATCATGATGTGCCGTGAGCAGGGAGGGCACCACAGTCCATCTGAAACAGGCCCTGTGTTCACAAAACTGTCATGGATACCACAGCAGTAAAAACAAAAAACAGCAACAACAAAGGCCCAGACTGACAACAAGCCCTTTCAGACTTTTTTTTCCACTGTTGGAGTGCCCCTGAGCACCCAAAGGAACAGTTCTCACAGCTGTGCCCGAGGAGACCCAGACATCTGCACCCAAAGGGCACAGAGGACAACCATGCAGCTGAGTTAATGTGGCATCTTGATAAAACACATTCAAATAAAGCACTGGGGAACTATTCTAGCCAAAGAAACGAGGTGTGGCTAGAAAGAATGTAGACAGAAACTTTAGCATGTTATACAAAAATGGTATGACAGGTGTAGGACCGCAGTCTAGGCATTTCGATACAGGAACTAAAGATTTTAGGAGAAAAACACCATCTTATTCACCCTCAAACACTACAGTGAGATAAAGCAGAAAAACATATTATTTTTAAGGACTGTTTTACTGTTTATTTCACAGCAGTCTAGAAGTACACATGTTAGCTCAGGCAGGGTCTCTTCTGTCCGCACATAGTAGTAGAAACACGACCCATTGTGTTTAATATGCACTGAAGAACGTGCTATTACAAAACATTTTTGTTTTGATTGAGAATGCAGCCTTGCTTCTCGACACAAATGGCCTGTGTTTAGATGAAAATATGTTTTTGTGCTTTTTTTTTTCTTTACTTCACAGCCCCCTCAAGCATCCAATTGTTGTTTAAAAGCTGCAGGAGAATATCAAAGCATTGCAGGATTTTTTTCTGGCAGTCACAAGAGAAAAGAAAGATGTAAAACGCAGGTCTGGTGCGAGAAGCCCTGTGTTTGTCACAGTGTGTGGGTGCCTTTTCTTAGTCACCACACCCACGCCCTTCACCTACACACACTTATTACTTCAATGATTCTATCAGCATATGTGAAGATATTTAGAAAGAAAGTTTTTTATGGTTAACATGTTCTGTCTACAGTGAGGATGATGAAAGAGGGTGATGTTCTCCTTTAGCTAAAATAACCCATTACTGTATGTTTCTTTGAACTCAATAGCCATTTGTTAGTGTTATAGGGAATTATGCTAAGCTAAAGTGGTAGATCCCAATCAGCCAGTTGCTTCTTTATGGGGGATTAACAGAGTGAAGGTCAATTTTCAATGTGTCCACCAGCTCAGCAAAGGCTGACACTGACACAACAGGTCAATTAATCAATAGAAAATTATAGAAAGAACTTGCACAATAAAAGCCAAACAATGGCCAAACAGTGAGCCACTGCCTTTTCCCTTTGTTAGATTAAAGATTAAACTTCCTCTCAATGCCAGCAAAACTCTAACAAAAAAACTTCCTCTTAATGCCAGCAAAACTCAACTTTTTTATTTGGGTTTTTGACCTCAGTTTGAATGCAGTCTATTAAACAAACAAACTCAGATGAGCACAATATGATCCAATGAATACAGTAATGTTTAAATATTAACCAGCGGATGTAGTGCTCTTACATGACAATCATTTTTCTCTTACCTTCTTAAACAAACCATGCCCCCGCAGTCATACTTTCAGTTTGAGTATGGACTTTAAATTACACATAAACACATTTCTTTAACCAATATGATGTCTAGGGTGAGGGGAGGCTCAAGTCGAGCCTTGAAACCATAGCTGGTGTCAGAGATGACAGTATAACCTTCATGAACTTTGTGTCTGTGACTGTTAAAGACTGTGTGCTAGACGAAACGACCAAAAAGCCCCTAAAGGAAGAGTACTTTAACATGACACAGGAACCACATGAAAGGAGAGTTAATTACACCGTTTCAAGTGTTGTGATTTTTATGTAAGCATGCTTCCTGAAAACCTTTTCCATGCATTAGGTTTGGTAGTACAAAACTATTGTTCTACATATGTCAAAACTAACTAAACATGATGATTATGTTCGTGACAATATGACTAACATGTACACTTGATTGGCTGACTATGTTTCCTGTTAAACTGTACACCAGTACATTAGACATATATGTTTAAATAAAACAAGCAATATGAAAAGTTTACAGATATGTATTCACCCTAAGGTATATTTAAAATTGTGGTCAGATTAAACAATTCCCTTGCCTGAGCTAAGCTAACATTGTTAGCTTCTTGACCTCAATATTTTTGCATCATTTAATTTTCTGTTCCTCAATTAAAAGGCATGATTTTACACTTTGAAACCTCCTGTTTGTAAATGGACAAAACCGACAGGAGCAGAGAGGGAGGGAGAGGGAGAGAACCTGCTGGTGAAAACAACACCGTACACTTCATGTGACCTTTTGGAAATGACTTAAGGTTGATTTAATATAGTACCGTGTTACACCGTAGGAGAAACCTATCTTACATCCATGCTCACAGAACGTTAACAGAAATAACTACAACATCTGAAAGTGATGTCGTCAAACTTGTATTTACTAGATGACTAACTGCAGTCAACAAGGGACCTTTTTTTTGTATTCAGTGCTGCACTAGTAAACATGTTCCAGTTAGTTTCAGAGGCTACAGTTTAACCTCGATGAACTATGTGTGTTTGACATAGAAAAAATGCATCTTTTAAGCCCCAAGGATATTTACTTCCACGTGACACATGCGTTAAACGCATATACACACACAAACATACACACACCACATGTAGGCGGAGTTAAAAACCAAGCGCCTGAGAGACTGACAGCAAAGGAAGTGCGAGGAAGATGGGTGTGTTGTCTTTCACAATGACAGACGTTAAAAAAACATTTTGAGATATGCGTGGTGTGTTTCAGTGTGTAAGGGAGAGAATAAGACGGGAAGAATGAGAAAGGACCTGCGTGCGTGCGTCTGTGCGTGTGTGAAACGGAGAGACGGTGCAGAAGAGGGAGCAGCGGAGTTGACAGTGTACGCGTGGCAGTGTTTATTGGACAGACCAAAACAGAGAGAGCCCAACCCAGGCTGCAAGGAATGGCAGAGAGCATTTAAAGAGCAGCTCCTCTCCTTATGTGTGTAAACTGCTACTTAACTGGCACGTCAACAGACACAAATAGAAGCAGCGGGAATATGAAAACTTACCTATTGTTCTGTGTTTTTCTGGAAATTGGCGAGGCTTTCGTTTTCTTTCGGGAATAGTCGCTACTGTACGGTAAAACAGACGCGTAGCCATGTTCTGCCTCTGTTAACACAAAACAGATAGGAACATTGTTAAAGAGGCTACATGACAGTACTAAAGGAGACGGGATAGCCACCATCTGCCATCATCGCACTGTTTTCAATGTCACTTTTCTTTGTTGTTTGTCTATTCAAGTATACAAGTCATCGTTTGCATGAGAGAAAATACAAAAAAAAAAAAAAAAAACTGGTTATAATCGAGTTATAACATCCAAGTAATGCATGCCTGAATTATTTTTTAATGGCACAGACTAAAATAGTCCACTTTACACACACCGTCTGTGCTATTGTCCACAAAGTGACATCATACCTGCACTGTGGCAGGAGTAACGTTAAAACTTCACATACCGTCTGTCTGACCGTGAATCTGCCAGTCAACATAATATATCAAAACCCAATGATTATTTTCACAATCCAGTAATCGTTGTCAATCTGTCATTTTATCTTGAAAAATACCTCTGTCTTTCCTTTCCAAATACTCTGCAGCCTCCAGCAGAATTAGAAGAGAATTAAGTTCCATGGCGTTGCTGTCTTGTTGTAAAAAAAATAGAAAAAATCTATTTATATAAATTCACAACGTCATAAAGGATGCCGAATTTAAAAAGATAAATTCTGTCCGAGCTATACCTGCAGCTATATACACTTCTGAGTCCAGTGACTCCAATCCACACCATCAACAGCAGCTATAACAGAAACTCGGCCATGGGAGTGACAGTATCGTTATCCAGTAAAAATGTTCCGCGGGACGGCTTACTGAACACATTTCGACCAATTAACAGGCAGACTAGGCGTATCGTGAATTCATTGGTTCGACCGAAAACGAGTTTCCTGGGACATACCCTAGCAACAGCTTAATGGACCCGCCTTTCCGCCTTGTTATTGGTTAACTGCTGGACACGCAAACTACGATTGGCTAAATGTATTCGGGGTGTAGTTTAAGGATGAACTTGGGTGTAGTTGCGCGGTTGCCAAATTTGAGAACTTCTGTCAAAAACGCGTTGGGTTGAACCGTGAAAGAAATTTCCATTATACGAGCGAAGAGTCATGTAGACGTTGTTACGTATGTCAGCTGTTTTTTCATATGATTGTGTGCCAAGTTAGAACTAAACACGACGGTTGAGTTATTGTTTCCTGGCCTAATCATTATGAAAGTGCTATATGAAGGGACAGAAAATAGCAGGTAATTCATCTGTGGAATATTGGTTTAAAATAAGTAATATATCAGTCAAAATGTGTCGTTTTGAATAATTCTTGATTTTATTGATTAAATTGTGTCGTTTTTTTTGGTTCATGGTCTAAATTGTCTCTCAGATGTGTTAAAATAGGCTGAAATATTCACAGTGTGAAGTATTGTCATCTACAACCACAACCCTTTTATATAATACTTTTTTGTCCTTGACATCTCTGTGTTAATCCTTTTTTTAAACATGTTTGGTTAAACATGTTTGTGCTACATACATTTTGACTAAATATAGTTTTTAAAATATGATTATCTGTCATTTATATTGTGAATATATTATTTTTAAATCACATTCAATAGATGACAGGCACCTCAAATGAGAGATTTATTCAAATATGTCTATTTAAATGAAAGTGACAAGTGATACAGTAATACAACAACAAAAATGTATTTTAAAGTTGGATAAAAAAATGTGATTTATATTGGGTACTTACTTGAAAGCAACATAGCATACTCTTACATGTATTTGTGAACTTAAAAGTAAATTATTCTACTTAATAGTTAACATCTACATCCAGATGTATAGTGATCCTCTGTGCGTGTATTATGTTGAAGGGAATACAGTCCCACTACCTATCTTATTAGCAAGTCATGATGAACATTAAAAACACAGATGACACACATGTCATAGGTGAGCAATGTGCTACTTACAGTAAACAGCATGTGATTTATTGTAAGCCAGAACAACTTGGTGATGAAATGTTCTTGGTTTTTGGGGTTTTTTCATTTGTTAAATCAGATGACCTCTTACTTAAACTGCAACTATTTTTGTATATTATATAAGTGTGAGATCATTGCAGGGTTACATTTTAACATTGTCTAGGTTTCACTGCAAACCTTTCGGCTCTGATACTGTATGCAGCTGAACTGTGGGGGTGAGCAAGATGTCATGACTGCAGGAGCAATGGAAGAGTTATGAATATATCAGCAGTGTGCCTGCAGAGTATAAATGTGGGTTGCTCTGCATGGTAAGCAGTAAAGTGCCGGCAGCCAGATGTCTGTGCATCATTTTGTTGGTGTAAATAGTAAAGAAAGGCACTGGATTGAAGCAAGATACCTGTTGAGCAAAGTCGTTTTTTCTTAGAATAATGGTAATGAACAACAATGGGTCATAAAGGAGTTTAAAAATAACCATAGTTTTTTTTAATAATACTAAGATGTAATTATCAAAGTCTGTCACTGTCAACTTTAGTAAGAGATGTGTTCTGTAATTTGAAAACTTTTTAACGTTGACAAACCAATCGTAAGAGGAAGCAGCACGGAGATGCAAGACGTTTGTGTGCTATGGGAATGGAAATGTTTTTACACAATGATCATTTACTGAAGTTGAACATATATTTGGTTCATCAAGGTGAAGCCATGCATGAAACCACTTTCAACGGTGTTTGAAAAAAGAAAACAAATGATATGTGTGACAGTGTGCTCTTTCTGCCAGTGGTTTGTCTGTTGTGGCCGTGCTTGACTAAAAGCTGAAGTGTAACATGAGGGGGAAGACGGAGGAGCCTTTGTCAAACAAGGTCTCACGATGATTATTCAGCCTGTTATTTTGCACGACTCTTACTGTAGTTCTCATGTCAATACAGATGGAGGCCAGAAGAATGAGCAACAGCAGGCTGTAATAGCAGAGTGGCATCAACCTATGACAAAAATGAAACCAGATAGCAGATCGTTATCATGCCATGATGATAAAACCAGGTAAGTACTAACAAAAATGTCATTGACCTCAGTCTCACCTATGCCAGTGGTCCTGTTTTTTTGGTTTTATGGTGTTACACTGTGTGAATACTTCTCCCCACTAGACCTGGAGTAATTATAGACAAGTTACGCAACCTGTCATAGGCCCACTACACTTTACAGTGATGTCATTGCATTGGGCCACTGATGTCTGTACACGAGTTTTATCTGATTATAGAGACTACAGCCTAATGGAGTCATACAGGAAGCTGTTCTCTGTAACTTTTGTTGTGATTATTTTTTTTGGATACATCAGCAAGAACGTTGTCCCTGACCTCGCAAGAGTCCTAAAGCATACAGTACAAGCGTTCATTAAAATGCATATATGCCTTTTAAGGGAATGTTTTTACTAGCACAAAAATAACATTTGCTTTAGTTTAAGATTAGTGCAATTATAACTGTTGGTTTTTTTAGGTCCCAGGTCTCATGAAATGTACCAAACTATTGCAAGGTGTTAATTGTCCTTCCCATAATATGCTTCTATTTATAGGGTTATCATCTGTCCCCTGATCACAGTGGCTTAGAACTTGCATTGCTCGTTGCCTTAGCCTGTGAACTTTTCTCCTCTTCTTGTACTTACCGTATTTTCCTCCATTTAAAATCCTGTAAAAACTTTTCTGAATGTACCAATAATTATCAAATGTGCACACACCATCTTTGTCCTGAGGGTTGAGTGCATGGGGGATACATGTTGTATAGTCCAAACACCTTAGTTGCACAAATAATTTAAAAAAAGACCTGTTTTTCTATTGAAGTAGTTTTATATTTTTGGACATGACTGAAGAGAAAAAGCTTCAACATTGTGGCTTTTCTGCTTCTTCTGCTGCTGAGGAAAAAAGATATGATAAGATGAAGATGTAAGTGAAGTTTTCAGGAAATAACTCAAATACTTTCCATATGTTAGTGAAGGGAAGTTGTATTTGTTACATAAGCGTCATTTCCCCACTTGTACTACATTATTCTAATATGTATATTAACTCCCCTTCGGCAGTTAATGGGCTAAAGGTCTGGAGCCAAGACGGACTGAGGACAAACAGATCAAGTGTGACACAAATGTGTACCATTCTGAAAAAAAGTATTCTTTTTACCTCAGTAAAATTACTTTTTCAATATTTAACCATGAAATGAGGGTAGTGTCTATCAACACAGTTACTGTGTACAAATGTATCTCTGTATCTAATTAGTGGTTAACAAGAGATCTGGGATTAGGAGTTGTTTATCTGGCTGCTGGTTGTTTACTAACTCCCTTCCTCCAATTTGCCATTGGTCTCCACCTTTTTGGGACAAGGTTCATCTACTATTGTCTGCTTTCCAACACTGAAGGTCTGTCAAAGCAACTCCACAATTATATTATATAACTGGGCAAAGAACAGAGCTCTGTCCATACACAACTCCCATTTCCTTCAACAGACCAGAATCAGATAAGCATGGCTAAGAGATTTGAATGTTTTAGTGCAGAACAACTGTATCAACAGTGCACCAGGAAAAGCTTTGCAAAAAAACTCTGTGTTTGGAACACAGCCTGTATGTATGTCATGGATGCAGCTGTTCCCAGGTGCAAGAATTACTGTTAACGATGCATCCACAGAGAGTTTACTGTGGTATTTTTCATTCATAGTTTAAAATTGGGCCACAATGAAAAAGTGGTTCGTGCACTTGCCTTACAGCAAGAATATCACTGGTTTGATCCCTGCTCATCCTGAATGGATTTGGCATGTTGTCCCTGTGTGCATGTGTTTTCTCCAGGCACTCAAGTTTCCTCCCATAGTCCAAACATGTGGATTAGGTTAATTGTTCCCTCTTATTGACCATGGGTCTGTGAATAGTTGTTTGTCTCTATATATGGTTGTGCAATTTGACCTGTACCTGTATCCCGCCTTCACTTGGTGATTGCTGGGAAAACATGGCTGAATTTTTGGTTCTATTAAATAATAACCATAATGTACACAGAAAAAATGTTTATAATGTATTGTGAAGTTGTTCCATTGACCTCTTCATTAGACCAGGTGTAGTAGTTTTCCACCACTCCTTGTGACATCATACTAACATAAGAGACTCACGATTGGTCAAAAACAACACCTGATGTTGAATGCACTAATTATGAGTCAGGAGCTAAATGTGTGTATATGACTACACTTTTACAGAAATCTAAATTTTCCACTGAACAATAGCTCAGACAGTGACGTAAGTCTGTTAAATTCAGAAGCATCCGCTGATGATGACACAAACTTTTCTAGAATTTGTGAATGATGGCTGGGTTGGGGCGCGGCTCTTGTACACTCATCCTCGACTTAATACACACATTCAGTGGTATGGTGACAAAAGTAAAACTGAAAAAAATATTTCACATATTGTGAAAGTGTTTCTGCACCTGTGAATACAAACGGCTGGTCACTGTGTGCAGGCTGCCGTTAGCTTTAACTCTTTAACACCAGAGCTCACTTGCACGTTTCTCAAACATTTTGACATTAAAGTCGTGCAACGACTTTTAAAAATGTTTGGGAAAGACAGTTTGAGCTTTTTGACCTGTAGCATTCTAAGAAGGCATTCTCCGTGTTGTTTTACTTGACTCTGCGTAGACGTGCTTGCTCACTCGTCTGTATGAGTCATGTTAAGCCCTACTTATCTCAGCATGTGTGAGAGGCATATGATTTAGATGTTCTTAGTTTCACTTCAGGAAGCATTACTGTACCT